AAAAAAAAAAAAAAAAGAATAGGAGATCGCAGACAAATGTCTTGCATAAATGTGTGTGCTTTTTTTTTTAGGATGGGGAGCGGAGAGGGAGAAGGAAAGAATCTTAAGCAGGCTCCATGCCCATTGTGGAGCCGATATGGGGCTTGATCTCACAACCCTGAGATCATGACTTGAGCCAAAATCAAGAGTTGGACACTTAACCAATTGAGCCACGCAGACTCCCCAGATGTGTGGGGTTTTTTTCCCCCAAGATTTTATTTATTTGAGAGAGAGCACAAGCGAGAGATTACAAGCAGAGGGTGGGGCTGAGGGAGAGGGAGAAGCAGGTTCTCCGCAGAGCAGGGAGCCCGACATGGGGCTCAATCCCAGGATCCCGAGATCATGACCTGAGCCTGACCGACTGAGCCACCCAGGCACCCCCCAAATGTTTGTTCTTTTTTCTTTCTTTTTTTTTTTTTTTTAAGATTTTATTCATTTGACACAGACACAGTGAGAGAGGGAACACAAGCAGGGGGAGTGGGGAGAGAGAAGTAGGCTTCCCACTGAGCAGGGAGCCCGATGCGGGGCTCGATCCCAGGTGGGATCATGACCTGAGCCGAAGGCAGATGCTTAACGACTGAGCCACTCAGGTGCCCCTCAAATGTGTGTTCTTTACAGAGACCTTCAGATTCTGGTTTTGACCATTAGAGTGGCGAGTACTGTAGTTAATAAAAAGCGTCTTAGGAACACTGAAGCTTGCCAAGCTGCGAGTGTGCGTACATGCATGTGTTCCCGCCCCAGTGGTTCCAGGGGAAATGACTTTTTTGCAGGAGTGTTTTTTCCTTTGCTTCCCCCGCCCCTTCCAGTTTCATAATGTTGGTCCATTCTTTTCATTTCTCCGTTTTCCTAATGTTGCTGCTAATGTTGTTTTAATGTGGATCTTTCTTAACTCATAGGCTTGTTTGTTTGTTTTTCAATAGGACAAGGGCTCAGAGGACTGGACGTGCTCAGACATCGGTGTTGTTCTTCCCAGTTCTTGACCCCGGTCCTGTCTCCAGCCCGTCTCGGCTTATCCACCTTGACTCCTTTGAGCTGTTTGGAGGGGCGGTTTCTGGTAGTTGTGGCTTTTATGCTTTCAAAGAATTCCTTCAGTCCAGAGAACTGTTCCTGGCATCCCTGTGTGTGTCACCCACTGGTGACCTGTGGCAGTATGTACTTTCAGTGCACCTACTGCTTACCGTTGCTTTAGTCACTAATCGCTTTCTGATTTGAAAGATGCAGTGGTTCCTCCCTCTCCTGAGTCCTTCCTCCGTGCTGCCCTGCTGACCCTTGCAGTCACACCAGAGATAGTTCTTTCCAGAATGGCTCTCGTCACTGGCATCTTACTTTATGAGAGGGAAGGCTACTACCTAGGGCACTTTAAGTCAGTGACAGCCCCTTATTTGCACTTCAGCTTTTCACCATCAGCGTTTCCCCAGAGCAGGAGCGTGTGGAAACACCTGGGATGTTGTTGCAGCCTGCAGCGAGTGCTCCCGTCTCGGGAACCTTTGGGGGCACTTGCCCATGTCTTTTCTCATATCATGTTAGTCACTAGCATATTTAAGGTTTGTGCTGTTTGCCCAGCTTTTAGAAAACTCAGTCATTTTTCCTAATAAAAGAACGAAGTACTGCACCCAGCAGCTTCACTCTGTAGATTTACTGTGGTTTCTTATACCATTTGTAGACGTATAACACTTGCCCAGATGTGTTATCTGCAGTACTAACTGTTTGCCAGGCTTACACAGAAAGATTTAAAGTGGCAGCTGCATTCGAGATTTAGTGAGAGATGGACACAGGTCGCAGCAGGGCGCTCAGGCAAGTGCGTGAAGAAGCAGCCAACAGGCCAGCTGGACGTCTCGGGGCCGAGCTGCACACGCGGGTGTACGCATACCCCCGAGCGCTTCACATGGCCTGCCATGTTCCGTGTAGCCACATTCAATGCCTCAGGATTTAGCAGAGAGGAGCCCTGCGTCTTTAAATGAGAAAGTGTACAATTCTTTTTCCTCCTACAGCATGTCAGCATCTCAAGTTCATTTTTCAACCTACGATACAACAATTTGTAATAAAGCCTTCATGAGCTCATGACGTGAAGCGCTGTTCTGTCGTCAGTACTCTCAAATGTTTCTGATACTGCTGAGCTAAGACCATGAGAAAAAGCTAGCACTACATCATGTTTGGAGCTCTATCCCATATTATCCTGATCTCTTTAAGTATTTGTTCCTGCCACTGTACACTGTGGCGTTGACTTGGTGTTCTGTCCCAGTGCGGTGCCTCCTCTTGACTCCCCCACTGCTCTCTGTGGTGAGAAATTTGCCTTGTTCAATAATTACTGTACCCTCGCATGACTGTTACAGCTTTCTGTGCAGAGATGACTGTCCAAGTGCCACATGCCTATGATTGAAACGAAAAATTTATTGTTACCTCTGAGTTTGTGTTCCACGGAAATGCTATCCAGCAGATCACTTAGGAAAACTAATTCTATTTTTAGCTTTTCATTTCTCAGCTATCCTTTTTTCTTGTTTGATTTTTGACAGCAGTGGAGAATGGGTTATATAAACACTGCCTGCTAATATGAACAGAAATGCACTTGTAATTCATGAAAATAAATGTACATCTTCGATCTTCATATTCATGTTAAGATTCAGTGTCGATTTCCTCTGGATCAGCGTGTCCAAATGGACAGTCAGCTTCAGCCTATGCTTGGAGCAGAAATGCTTGCGGGCTCCCCCCCGCCCCCCACCCCCGGGGAACTGCCCCAACACTGGTTTACATAAGATGATTTAGAAGGCATCTCTGTAGGGTCCTAGTTTCCCTTTGCACAGCAGAGAATCAACTCTGACATGTACCTTTACTCAAATCATAGGTCTAGAATACTATGTCAAACTCTGATGAAGACTCCCAAACGTCTCAGGTTGGATTCTCTGGTTCTTTCTAAAGAAGACCTGCCTGTATGCCCCAGAAATGCTGCTGGGCATGGCTGGGTGCTGGGAAGGACTGCCCAGTGTCACTTGGCCCCACACCAACCGGCCCAGGGTGCTGATGCTCACACCTCACAGGTTAACAGAGGACGGCTAAGTCAGCCTCAGAGATCGGAACCACATCTAGATTCTTGCCCTAAAATCCGTGATTTTCATCTGCGTGCTCAGAGCTGCCGTGTAAAGGTCTGCACAGCTTTGATAGGATAGAGGTTTGACTATTAACTTGATACATTGGTGAGTCAGTTTTCATTTTCAAAGAAGCATTGACAGTTTTCTTACTCTTGTTTCTTTGTCCTTTTTAAATGGAGTGTTAGTATTACGAGGTTAATCTGCAGTCCTCAAAATAGAAAGCCATGGCCTTGGTTACTAATACCTGAGGACGGTAGGCTGTCCCATCCCCCTCGCTGGTACTGTGGAGTCAGATTGGCATGAAACCACTAACTGTGTTCTAGAATCACTGTAGCCCTAAGTTGTGTGCTTTTTATTAATCATGCCAAACTTGGTTCAACAGGTCAGAGAATTATAATCAAGGTACCTGGGAAAAGTACTAGCTATTATATGTGATAGGCTTGTCATTTGGATCTTCTTACATCTCTAAAAATGTACCGCTTAGGTCATCCAGATTACTTATTGGTGATACTGAATGCATCCATTCTTATTATGCTCAGATAAGCTTTCAGACTAATGGCTTTTTTGGTGTCTAAAAAGTAAGCAAAAAAATTCCTGTTGAAACATTCCAATCTTTTTGTTTAGTATGAGACAAAATACCTAACCAAGCCAGGGGAATGGATTTGAGAGAACTCATGACGACTCTGTGCTGACACAAGTCTTCAAAGCTGATGGAGACACGCAGACCATTTTGATGCATGGGTAGAAGAATATCATTGTGTTTGTGTGCAGTACACAGTGCGTCGTGTGTTCACAGTCTGTCCTGCTGCAGGCACAGGTGATGGGTGTGCAGGGTCCTGTTGGCTTTTGGAGCCACATGTGGCTCATCACTGGTTGTATCTCAGTAAGGAGTCACACACGTATGCTGCCCACACCACATGCCACCTAATGTTCAGACCATTCAGAGGAGACTGTTTTACCTTTATTTGCGTATATGTTAATACGGTTTTTAAATTGGTAACTTTTATATAGTACGGTAACAGTATGTTAATACACACATATGCACACATGCTTTGGGTCCTTCCATAATACTTTTATATTTGTAAATCAATGTTTTGGAGCAATCCCAAGTTTAAGGGAAATATTTTTGTAAATGTAGTGGTTTTGAAAATCTGAGCAATTCTTTTGCTTATACATTTTTAAAGCATTTGTGCTTTAAAATTGTCATGCTGGTGTTTGAAACATGATACTCCTATATTGCAGATGAGAAGCATGTAACAGTAGATATGTGGTCTCTCTCACTGTAATCCAGTTTGACATCATGGATCGGAAATGACTGGGAATCCAGAGGGAATTCTCTGGGGTTGCACCAGGTTTACCTAAAGCTCGTTGCCTTTTTTGTGCTGTTCATCCGTGTAGAGCACTCGAGAAAGTTCTGAAACTGCTTTGTATCTGCTTTGTACTGTTGGTGCCTTCTTGGTATTGTACCCCAAAACTCTGCATAGATTATTTAGTATAATGGTAAGTTAAAAAAAATGTTAAAGGAAGATTTTATTAAGAATCTGAATGTTTATTCATTATATTGTTACAATTTAACATTTATTTGTGGTATTTGTGATTTGGTTAATCTGTATAAAAAATTGTAAGTAGAAAGGTTTATATTTCATCTTAATTCTTTTGATGTTGTAAACGTACTTTTTAAAAGATGGATTATTTGAATGTTTATGGCACCTGACTTGTAAAAAAAAAAACTACAAAAAAAAATTAGAATCATTAAATTGTGTCCCTGTGTTCCAAAATAACATAGTACTGCGCATGTATAGCTTAATTGGAATTTCACATGTGAACATAGGAAGTCGCCTAGTCCTTTATTACAGTGTTTCCCAAATAAGTGTGTTTGTAATTTGACTTTGCTTACAGTAATCAGGTATAGAACCAGAAGCTGGTGCTCTGAAGGCCAGTGGGATTTTAGTGCTCCATCAAGTTTTCCAGATTGTTCTTCAGATGCTTGGCTATAGAGGGGGGAAGAAGGCAGTGCTGGGAGTCCTGACACAGTGCCCATGTGCGTCTCTTCTCATCTTCCTAAACTTCAGCAACTGCTGCCAGGGCAGGTGTCCTTGGCAGCCTCTTTTTTTCAGACCAAGATGTCACGAATGTATTAGGGACTCTTGGACACTTGGTTCTTCTCAGTATTGGGCATCATGCAGTGACTTACAGGACAAAAATATTGGAAAATGTTCTGCTTTGGTGGTATAGAGAGAGCACAGGCTTTGGGCCCATAAATCTGGGTTCAAAACCTGCCCTGCCCTCTGCTGATAACACAGCTGGCTTTGGGCCAGTCGTCATGTTGTTCACTCAGACCTTCGGCTGGAAAGTGGAACCGTGCATGTCATAAAGATTGTGCAAATACATTTTAAGTTTCTAGCCCAGTACCTCAAAACAAAGAGTAAATAGCAGATCTTCCTAAATGCTTTATTTATTTATTTGTTTTTACTTGTTTGTTGTAAGGTGGTGCTGAGACATCTGCTGACTGAACTGTACCCGCTTTCTATTAATCTGAGCGGGGAGGACCTGTCTGAAACTTTCTTCAGGGAAATGCTGATCTCGCCTAAATTGCTGGGTAACGCTCATGGGATTATCACATTCACTTTCCCTTTAAGAGATCAGCACTCTTTGTTGTTGTCCAAATCCTGTAGAAATCAGTTATAACAATCATCTTCCTTACCCAGCACAAGGAATTAGTAATCCTGTTTTTCCCACGTTAATAATGATGAGCTCCTTGCCTTGGCAGTAGAGCCTCAGACCTTGGTTGGTTCTCTGTATTTAATCAGAACCCGAGCATTCAGAGCCAACCAGTGGCCACAGAGCACCTCTCTGGGAGGAGCAGAAGCCAAGCCCAGGTCACGGGGGTACGG